TGGCATTTCGGGGGCTAAATCGCCCCGAGCCCCCGTGTATTTTTTTTACTGGTGTAGTGCTTTAATGATTGTGACGTCTTCTTTACAGACACTATCCATATACCTGTGATAAACGTTGAAGATGGGTCCATTCTGAGAGGAGAGGGCGCCCCCACGGCCTCCAACCTCAGCCAGTGGTTGGCTGAGCATCCTGGCTACATAGTCTCTCCCTCACATCTCTTCTCTCCAAGCAGCAAGGTAGGTGTTGTCGCTCGCACGCGTGCAGCAAGCAAGTGTGTGTGTGCGCATGCGTGCGTCCGTGCGTCCGTGTGTACCGTACGTGCGCGTGTGTGCGTGCGTGCGAGCGAGCGAGCGAGCGAGCATGCGTGCGTGCGTGCGTGCATGCCTGTGTACGTGCGTGTGCACCTGTGTGTGTGTGCGTGCATGCGCGTGTGTACGTGTGCGTGTCTCTGTGAGTGTGTGTGTGTGTGTGTGTCTGTGTGCGTGGGTGGCAGAGTTAGTTGAGTGGGTGTATGTAAGACTAGGTGGTTTTGAAGGTGGGTGGTTGTTTGTGAAACTAGGTGGGTTTGAGAGTGGGTGGTGGGGGTATGTATATGTAAACCTAAATAAGATTGAGGGCGCGCGTGTGTGCGTTAGCGGTGGTGTTGCTGACACGGTGCTGCCATCTGTTGTAGGATCTGGCGGACAGGAAGCATATGAGGAGGAAGCATAGGCTAGACCCGGCGCAGCTGGATCCCGATCAGCTGACGGGCGAAGAGAACGTCTCTGTCATCAACAAACTCACCGGACAGAAGGTAACCACGGCAATGCCACACCAGGCTTGTAGTCGCGACGGTGGTGGCCTCTGGTGGTCAGTGCCGCAGGGGTGAAGTCGGAGATGTGAAGTGGCTGACGCCTGTGTGTAACTACCACTGGAGGGAAATGCCAATAGTGTGCTGTTTATGGCCGTCTATGCCCATGTTTTATGTCTATCTTCTGTTCTGTAGCTGGTTTCATTCTATGACTGCCTCTCAAGGGAAATGCCAGTAGCTTAAAATAGACTCGATACTGCTGCTGCTGCTACTGCTGTGTAGAGTAGGAGCTATATATATATACACACATGCTGTGTAGAGTAGGAAGCAAAAATGTAAAGTATGATAGTCACTATGTAAAAATCTTATATGCCCAAATATATCTGTGATCATAGCTTCACCTTTATTATCCCAGCTAATTAGACATCAAAGATAAGCAAATTGAACATGGCGTAATAAAGTTGCATTTTTTAAATTTGATTTTGCATAATTCATACCAGGAGCTTGTCTGAGAAGTGCAAGTATATTCATTCCCTGTTCCCTTCAAATCCTATTTAAACTGTAAAAATGCTCATGTATGATTAAAGCATGTGTAAGCAGGCTGAAACTGATAGCAAAATATAATATGTTGCAATTCTTCTTCTCTTTTAATTATAAAAGGATTAAATTAGAAACACCGTTGGCCTGCTGTGTACGGCTCAAAATGGATTTGCCCATCTTCGCTAGGATGAACAGTGAAGTTTGATATGTAGCATAATATAAGCCGTAAAACGTGACGCAACTGAAAATGTTTCTTCCTTACGACCTCCCCATGCAGTGCTAGCGATCGTTAGCTTAACGAGCTCTTCCTCTAGCGTTTAATTAATGACTTGATGGGTGTATTTGATCAACAGGAGCAGCTGGCTCAGCAGTTGGACAGGAGGCATCACAAGAGGCGAGGACGCAAGCTTGACGATGCAATACAGAGAAGTGAGTGTCTTTCCCGGTCCTCCGAAAACCGCCCTTAGAACCCACGCCGCGCACCGCCATTACTTTACTTCAACGCTCAGGTCTCTCCCCGTCTCTTTTTGTATGATTTTGATTTTATCCGACTCCTACGTGATGCTCTCTTGTTTGTTTTCTGCGCAGTTGCGAAAATGCACGGCCTTGCGGCGACGAGTGGAGGCAGCAGCCAGGAGGAGACGTTGCCAGCGCCCCCTGCTGCCCACCAGAGCTCCAAAGCACTGCAAGGTTTGTAGTAGTATTCACCGACGTGTTACTAGCACCGACTACCACGGTAACCTGTAGTCGGAAGGTCAAATCTAGAGCTCTACTTAAACAGTTAAACTAGAGGTATTGAGGCCATGATAAAAATATTGTTTGTTTGCCCTCACCCGCCCGACCCGCCAAAAAGGTGCGGTTCTGATACAAATTCACTGTACTACATTATATAAATCTGTAGGCAATATATTATATGTACCAAGCAAAACAAACATTCAACATAAAAGGTATCCACACAAGCACACCCGAGTACGGCAGCATTTTAGTGCCACAAAAAAAATATTTTTATCTCGAAATTACGAAATAGTATCTCGTCATTACGAAATAGTTCTTCGTAATTACGAAATAGTTCCTTGAATAAGGGCAGTTCATTGCAATCGCAGTCATCTTGCAGTGCGCTCTCCTTGAGTTACCGTCGTTTGTTACGATGCACGAACAGTTAGTCCACTTTTATTTCGGCCTAGGGCTTAGCTACGATGAAATCCTTGCTATCAAGAGCCCATTAACCCCAGAGTGTACAACGCTGAAATAGGAAAACCATGGTGTCGTTTCAGCAAAATTAATAAAGTTTACCTACCTTATTTTGATACTTCTCTACCGGAATATTATGCAGGAGTCATAGCTAGCCAATATAAGATTAACCGCTTGTCTCTATGACGTTTCTATGCCGAGATATAAAGCGATAAAAATCGAGTACTTCTAGGTAATCCTAGCGCCATATCACCTAGTAACACGCCTCTCGCGCGTTTAGTGACTGCATAGATATATACAACACATGTTCAAAACATATGTGTTGTATATAGCTCGACCGTTTTATTTGCGGTCTGAGATGTAGAGTATCGCATTGCTGGACTTTGTTTTGCAACTGCCGCTCACGTTGCTGCGATCGCTTGCAGGTAGCGATGGTGTGTCGCTGAACGGAGGCAGCGGTGTGTTGGACCTGCACGTTAGCAAGCAGCAGCAGCAGCAGCAGCAGCAGCAGC